CCCCGACCCGGGTGGACACGCAGACTCCAAGCGCGCGGGGCCTGGGCCCCCCGCCGCCCCGCGCTCTACTCCAGCTCCCACAGGCCTCCCAGCGTTCCTCCGGCCGGCCCAGGCCAGCCACGTCCCTCCCGGGCCTGGCGCGCGGCTTCCCCTCGCCGGATCTGGGGTCTCTCCGCACTCAGGCGGGAGCTGCCTGGTGCCTGCGCGGAGCCTGGCCCCCGCCCGGCTAAAACCACTGCCTCCTCCTAGAAGCCTTCCCAGAGCGCGGCCTGGGGATTGCCTGCTCATTCTGATCACTGCAGTTACTTCTCCTTTGTGGTTTGGTTGGTTGGTTTTACACCTCACTAGACAGTACCTGTAGCCCAGTGCCTGGCTACCTACTGGAGTAAGTGAGTTAGGACCGTATGGGCCAGGGCTGACGAGGAGCGAAGACAGTCCACAGGGAAGGGCTTTACCCTCTGAGCTCAAGATGACAGACTCGGGGCCACCAGGGGACCTGCTGAAAAGGCAGTCTTAGTCCCCAGATCCTGGGTATGGGTGGGATCTTCATTTAAGGAGATTTCCCGGAGCTTATCCACCCGGGCCATCTGCGTGGCCTGTGGGGAATTCTCAGAACAAGCATGCTCAGAGCACTGTACTGCAGTGAGGTGTTTTTATTTTAAAAAAACCTTTTAGTCAAGTTTTTTATTTTTAATTTACAGAATACGCGTTCGTGGTGACTGCCAACTTTGAATAATACAGGTTCATGTACGAATGTCAAAGGTGACCACATCTCCTTGCCCAGAGTCATTATTAAACAGCCCTTGGGTGTTCAGTAAACTTTCCATACAGCTGAATTTACAGGGTTTCCCCGGTATCCATGGGGCACGTGTTTTGAGACCCGCAGTGACTGCTTGAACCCTCAGCTAGTCCCGAACCTCAGACAGTGCTGCTTTTCCTATACACACATGGGGACTTCAGAAAGTTCATGGGAAGTGCATGGCCCTGTGTGCTGTCTTATGCCAAAGCTTGTCCATCTTAGGGTCACCTCCCTGTCCCATCTGGAAAGACACCGAGTCCCTGTCGCGAGGCTCAGGTGCACCCACGCGGTGCAGCCTGGCTGTGGGGTGGTCTTAACCCAGCACTCACGTAAGGGCACCTCGGTGGTCCCCAGGACGGAGTGCGAGGCCACGCGTGACTTCACGCTGCGAACATGGAGACCGCGGGGCGTGGCCAGCACTTCCTCCCTGGTTTCTTGCAGGGGCGGGGGATGTCTGCTGACCTTCACCAGGGACTTGGGGGCCAAGGAGGGAGGGGTGCGGTAATGAGGTCATTTTGCCACCCCCCGGGGAAACTGGCACTTCCCTGTTCCGAGTGGAATAGAAAGTCCATTTGTATCACTGCGAAGATGATTTGTTTCCGTTTTTGAGAACGTGGGGAGTGGAGTGAGGAAACAGAAGTAGGGGGCAGAGAGAGAGGCAGAAGACCTGCACAGGATTAAACCATCTGCCCAAATCCACGTCCCCCCAGAACCTCAGAACGTGACTCCCAGAAACAGGGTCGTGGCAGATACCATTAATATGAGGACGGGGAGGGGAACCGGCCTCTGCCCCTCTAGGTCCTCGCCCAGTCTCTAACAGAGACAGAGCCGCCAGGGAGAGACAAGTGGAAACCGAGTCACACGCTGGGCTCATGGTCCAGGGGCTCAGTAACTCGGGGCTGTGAGGGGCGGTTCAGACACCTCCGACCAGAGGAAAACGGCTTCTGGGCACCCAGGAGGGGAAGCACGAATAGGGCAAGGCTTGTCACACAGGCTTCACTGGTTTACTCTCAGGGCTTTGCAGAGGGCACAAGTGCTTGGTGACAAGTCACCCCTCGCCCCGGGAACGGATACAGCACAATCCCTTCTCCGTTCTCTTGTCAGATTTTGGGCGTGCGAGCACACATACCCAGGTCCAGGACTCGAGCTGCAGCTGGCCACGTGGGAGTCCAGCACCTCTGCCACCGCACCACCCGCCGGCCCCTGACATGCAGGGTTAACTAATGCCCTCTCCTTTGATAAGCATCTCTTATGATTTCGAGTCTTCTCGTGCTGCCCAGAAGTCAGATTCCACATGTGATCGGGGTTCGAATCCCTGGCCGGGTTAGCCTGGACCAGTCGGCATGTGCCCGACCGCAGGCTCTGCCAGGCTGGGGGGAGGGGGCGCAGCGTGGCCAGACCTGCAGGCGTGCGCCTCGCTCTCTCGTACTGCATAATGGATAGAGTAAACGCTGGTGAGAGAAAGATGCCAGACACTGGCACGAAGCCCATCTGCCACATGCCGCCTCCAGACTGTCCCTTCAAACCTCCCTGACGCTCCGTCTCTCTCTCACATGCTGGCTGGGGTCGAAGTCTAGGGCAACCTTGAAAGCCAAGAGCTGAAGACAGCGGGCCTCCAGGAACCGGGGTCCCCCTACCACGTTGGACCTAGACAGGACCCTCCCTCACGCCTTCCCCAGGGGCTCAGGTCAGGGACGAGGAACGAAGAGGGCCGTGCGGTTGTTACGGTGCCCCTGGCCGAGCGGTGCCCCTGGCCGAGCGGTGCCCCTGGCCGAGCGGTCGGGCTGCTGCCTGGGCTAGAGAAATGAGGCAGAGGCTGGACCTCGAGGAGGGAGCTTACCTATGACTGCCCCACAGGGAGACCTCAGCCCCACGCTCCGTCCCGCGGGGACAGCAGGAGCAGACACTCCCTGCGCTGCTCAGTCCCTGGGGAACTACAGTCCCCCTCTCCTGGTCTCTCGCACTCAGGCAGGTGGTTCTCCTCAGAGGCCTTCCCTCATTTCAGGATGGCTGCGGCCCTGCCAGACCCTCACTGGCGTCACAACCACACCATCAGTCAGCCGGTGACTAGACGAGTGGCCCATTACTAGCAGTGCACAAGCTGTCACGGTCACACGCAGGACCCGACGGCGAGGTTTGGACCACCCGCCCCTGACGAAGAGGCATAGGGAGGGGCACGT